CAGCAGAAAAGTTCAGATTTTCACTCCGTTGCACTTCCCCTCTTTCATATCAATACTTTTCGCAAGTACCAAAGACCAGCTTCCATTCTTTTATATGAAAAGATTGAAGAAGGGGTTTTGATAAACGAACAACATCCTGCGAGACGGATATGTCCTATGTGTCAACTTCCAAAAGCGCGACCGTCCGCGCGCATGTTTCGCCTTCCCAAGGTCGCCTTCCACCATTCCCAAAACTTGCCGGCATCGTTTGTATGCGCCGAACCAAACCGGATCACTTTGTATGATCTCCTACAAAACTGGCGTACTTAGCATGATGTGTTCATCGTTGCGACAGAGCCTGCAGTTCAAAAACAAGAAAGTAGTCGTGCATGGAGTGATTGAGCACTTGCTCTGCTCTTTACCAAAAGACGCATATGCACCCCCCATGATCGAGAGAGCTGAGACGCGTATTGTACAATGAATTGACGAGAATGAACATGGACTGCTCTCGCTTGTATAAAAGCTATCTACTGCTGCTTTCCTTCTCTTCTTTCTTACTCCAACATACCAGTCCTACCTCTTATCAAAACCTCATTACCAAAAGAGTATGGATTTGTCCTGCTTCTCTTTTAAAGTCCCATTCACACACTATTATGGAGTTCTGTCGCGCCTTCTCTCGTCTAACGAAGAGAAATACTACAACGCGCAATGACTTTTCGGCGTCTGCCCGCCTTTCCAAATCGGCGGTTGGACTGGAAGTTATCGGCTCACCAGGATGGCCACAGCTACCTGCCTCTAAAAAAAAGAACGAAAAACTAGCCGATGGTTCTTCTTCTTCTGGTTACGCGCTTCGCGAGTGTCTATATGAACCGTCTTTCGCCGACCTTTTACTTCTCTTCCAATCAACTATTAATCCCTCGCGGGAACAAAAACGCATGAGTGTCATACTGATGTGTTGCACCTGTGGTTTCTGTTTATCAAAAAGTGGGATCCAAAGTTCCATGTCTTTCCCCCCTCCTTCCTGGATATCGAAAACGAGATCTATGTCTATCATGAGCCTTCCAAGGTTCCCCTGAAAATCTTGCAGAACCAGTACATGACTGCAATCAAAGTCCTACGATAACATTTCACACAATCAAAGAGCTCCGCATATTCAAAACCAGTAACTGGTTTCCCATGTTTGGTGCTCTTAGCGGGAGTCCACAATATAAAAGAGAGCTGCTTTCCTCCCTTCCAGCGACTTTCAACTATACCGCCTTCTTCCCCTTTCTAAAAGACGGTGCTTGCAGAGACATGAGAAGAACCTGAGCGCACAGCTCTACTCAAAATTTTACTATTACCGACAAATGTTGGCGGAGCGCTTTGCTGGCCGGATTTTGCTACTCAAACATTCGCTATAACACGGCTATGACCGCTGTTTAGTATTCTACTCCAAAGATCATCACAGCTCTTGTATGCCGCCGTAGAAGCATTCTGCCGGGTTAATTCAGCTTTTCGGCAACTGAAAGTCCAACGGGAGCGATACATGAGCGGGAAAGAGCTAGAAAAGGGGTATAAACACCCTCTCTGCTTGCTACAACTCTTCTTTCTCACAACATCCGGTCAAAACAGCAAAAGTGACTTTTTCCAAAACGATAACATCGAGTTGCGATGTGGTATTTTCTCTGAAATGGACTCCGCTACTACGTATGTCCTGCGGTCCTTCCGCCTCCTCCTAAAATCGACAGTGTCAATTTGATGTGTTGCCTCCACCCGCGGGGTTTACCATTCTACGAGATTCTCAAATACCGAACCGAGACGATGTCTTGTTCCCCATGTTCAGTACTATGTTATTTCGGGGCCTTTCCAAACATACTTGCAACACAAGACACATTCCACGCGGCGGCTCGGAGGCTTTCAGTACACAAGCTCTCTCGTTACTGTTTTCCATTGCTTCTCTACTTCAGCGGTGCTTGCAATCATCGAAAGATACAGGCACAAAGTTTACGTGCGAGCTGTCCAACAAAAAAGCGACGGTACCATACCATGAGACGTTTCCGCCAAGTTCACCAATGATATTTCAAGATGAGACTCGTGTCTTCAGTACACTAAGATCAAAGTCTGTATGTCTTAGCTTCGGTGACATAGTTGCTTGGGCGAAATGGCGTATGTATAGATTTCATGAGAGGGTGCGAGTATAGAACGACTGTAGCGAAGGAGTACCAAGCCTTCTCTCCACTCTTCGCCCTCTGTGTTGTCTATACCTCAATTTTGACCTTGCTTTCTCTAAAAGTTGTGCATAAGCTAATCCCATGTGAGAACCAAGTCTGCATTTCGCTTTAAGGCTAGCAAGAAATGCGTGCCAGTTCCAGCCCGCGTGTCCCACCACGTATCCAAAAACGGTACGGGTGTTTCTGATGACCTGCCGATTTGGAAAAGCCGATGCAATACACGCACACCAGAGACATGCAGTCCCCAAAGCGTTCTTATGGAAATGCCGTGTGCGAAAGCGAGCCTCGCTCTGTCTGTGTTGTCTTGTTGCCAAATTGATGTTCTCCTGCCAATACATGTCAAAACGTTATCCCATGTTCATCGGCGACGACTTTAAAGCCGATGGTTATTAATAGTCTTCCGTTTATCGACTCATGTCCATCCATGCCTATAGCCACGTATTGAGGCCTTTGAAGAACACAGACTGTATAGGGGGAGCCGACGCATCGACTGTCACGATGCCACCGGAAGTTTTCGTATCGACCGTTGTCAAGACAGGAGCAAAGTCCGCATCATGGCCTTCTCCGCATCGCGCACAGTCTCCTTCCATGATTCATGCCAGCCTCGCCGTTGTCAATAATAGCAAGATCGCGAAGGAGTTGCCCCTTGGCAGCAACACGAGTTCGTACAGCTATGAGCAGTATCTGTGCTTCCTCTGTGCTTTCTCCGCGTGTGGTGCTTTTTGCTTATCAACGAGCCACACCGAGGTCAAAGCCACAGACTCCACAGGGAGGTGGCTGATAAAAGCAGTGTTCAAGCGACTGATCATGCTTTTCTCAACCGATGCGCATACAGCTACTGTCCAGCAACATGACGTAAGTACGATAGGCTTGGACGGGTGTTCAAACGCAAAGCGTCGAGGTACGAGGATGTCGGGCCGTGGAAGTGCCGCGCGGTCAACGGCGCCGTCGCAAAATACGAACTGCTCGGTTCTCCTGCTGAAAGTGTGTGCAGCGAGGTAATACGGCCAACATGCAACGTTTTCAACCCATCTTTCCGTTCGCGGGCGGGGAACTGCTGTCGCGCCTGCTACTGCAATGCAGTCGTTCACGCTAGAACTCAACGAACGGCAATTCCTTCACCCGGTGCTTGCACTGCGCGTGCGTTAGCGCAGCGTAGTCGCTTGGTTACAACCGACATTTACGTATGGTAGTAAAATGTCTGCTCCGTGTATGCTGATACGTGGGGACTGTCGGATGTGAATCTAATTTTCACAAGATTGCCGACGCCGTTCATGTAATGCAAGTGCCGGTTTCGCTCTTACCATGGTACTCGAGCCCGGCACGAAGGGCCCAGGTTTTCCTTCAGACATGCTTAGGTCCCAGACGTCTCTTTCTATCACAGCAACCGACAGTACTCGGCATCTTGCTGCGGAGAACATAATTTTCAACACGCGAGTGGAACGTCTTACGTGCTGTGAGCGCTCGAAAGCGGGGATGAGGCAGAGTTTTGCGTACAACCTATGATCGGTGACGGAGTGGAGAACTGTCAAAGTCTGTTCTGTAGAGGCTGACAGAAGTTTGTGGACTGCAGCCCAAATGCCAGATTCCAGAGTTGTGGACCGACATCGCGCTGACATGTGAGAGCGAATGAAGCGACTTGGTTGTAAAAGGGTCTCGACCTTTACCAGTCGTCAAGTGTCATCGACCTCGGCGTTCAGAGGCCATAGTAGAAAGCCGTGGAGTATCAGCCGTGTTGGGAGCGCCACGTGAAAATGTCAAAAGCACGCGAGGCGTCGACGCCGTCGCCTGCGGCACCGCCTGAAGATGCCGCCGGATGGACAGCAGGCGTTCCTGGTGGTTGACGGAAGATTGCGGCTCGGTACGGGCCCATGGCATTTCTAGGCTTGTCTCATGGCCATGATTGGTGGGCGCATCCAAATTATGAGAAAGTCAGAAAAGCAATACTTTGTTTACTTTCTGTTTCGGACGTCCTTGCTGCACAACAGAGCTCAATGCGCGCAGCACTGTCATCGCAACCTGCGATGAATCATGACGCACCTCGTATCGTCTCGATTCGCATGACAGCATTACACGTTGTCGTTGGTGATTTGTGCATGGGTAGACTCGAAATGGTGAGGATCTGCGCGGGACGTTTTTGATGTCGGGCGACGCCTGCCTTGATCTGCTTAGCGCGCTCCACCCCAAGTCAGTCCGCAGTCCAGAACAATGCCTCGTCCGGTCACCAAAAACTTGTTCCTGTTTGTTCCTGCGCTGTTCCTGAACAGACAGCTAGCCTAGACATGGATGCTGCGTTAGGTCCCCCAACGTCGCTCCCCAAGCCCACTACTACGCAAGATCTTCTCGTGCATATGCCGCGAAAACCAACGTGGCTCCAGCTACCAGGCGAGCGACGATCAATCGTCAGCATCGTGATTTGACGGCTACCCGACGTGTAATTTCCACATCAAGCTTGGCCCCTACAGCCCTACCAAGATTGACGAATGGTCAAACCCCACAACCGGCGCCGTCAGACCGGGCTTGCGGGAGATGGTCTTATCGCACGTGGATTTTCGGAGTTGGCAGTAGGCTTGGGTGAAACACTGCAGGAAAGGCCGAGAAGGCTACGCCATGCGCTGGCTCGCACAGGCTGTGGGCCACAGCTGTTAGTTCCGTTCACTGTGGGCGCTTCCTAATTTCCGTAAATATAAGTAAGTCGAGGAAGGCACCATGAAGCGGTATCTCACTCCTTTGAAGATCCAACTCAACCACGCTCTCTAGCAACCCCACAGTCATTCCTTGATCAACTGATCTGTCATTCATTCATTCATTATGCTTACCTCTACCTTCATTTTGGCCCTTGCTGGCCTCTCCTCCATGATCGAGGCATCTCCTCTTCAGGCACGTGGTGGAAGCAAGCGTGGTCTTGCCTTCCCCAAGAACCACAACGGTGTTTCTGGATCCCAGTGGACTCACAAGTTCGCCGGCTCCAAGGTCTCCTGGATGTACGACTGGGAGGCAGTCATCGACGGAACACCCCTCGACCTTGAATACGTCCCCCTTCTCCACTCCAACCAGCAGTGGTGCACTGAGGGCTGGAACACCAACATTGCCAACGCCAAGAAGAACTACAAGGTTTCGCACGTCTTGAGCTTCAACGAGCCCGACCAGGCCGGTGGTGGAGGTTCCAACATCGACGTCGCCACTGCTGCCGCAACCCACAAGAAGTTCATCCAGCCCCTCGCCGCCCAGGGTCTCCGTATCGGCTCTCCTTCCGTCACCAACGCCGACGAGCCCAACAAGGGAATCAACTACCTCAAGCAATTCATGTCTGCCTGCAACGGCTGCCAGATCGACTTTGTCGTCGCCCACTACTACGCCTGGGACAACGCTCAGGACTTCAAGAACTACCTGACCAAGTTCCACGAGACCTTCAACAAGCCCGTCTGGGTTACCGAGTTTGGTGTCACTTCTGGCAACGCCGACGAGTTCCTTAAGCAGGTCCTCCCCTGGATGGACGCTCAGCCCTGGATCGAGCGTTACGCCTACCACATGGTCGCACCTAGCACCGACCAGAAGTACCTCATCTCTGCTGATGGCCAGAGCCTGTCTAGCATTGGCAAGATCTTCGCCACTGCTTAGAAGTTTGCTGTCTTGATAGACGCATCACGAGTTACGACCTTTTTACCTTTTACCTTCTTGATACCACGTTACCTTCTTGTCTATAGACTTTGTTGTGACTTCGGTCTATACCTCAAATCATCATTCATTTTACCATTAAACTTATCCATACTTGTAATACTTGTGATTTCAGTTGCGTGAAAATTACATACAAGGTTATCAAATTCTTTACTAATATCTACCATCGTTCATAAATTCTTTACCCAGCTCTACCCCCTTGTATCGGTCTGCATCAAGTTCTCGAAGCCCTACTGACATCGTAACTGTCCATCGATAGCCTCACATCTGCCTTCTGCGACTCAAGTTCTTAACATATCAGCCACGGCGCCACCTGATCCTCGCTTACGATGCAAAAGGAAAGCAGTGGCGCGCAACCCTCACGCCAATCCCGCCACCTGGCACCTTTATCGCTTCTTTTTGACGAGGGTGTGATGAAACACTTGAACAAGCACACAGCTTCGATGAGCCCCCTGTAGAGTTTGCGCAGAATTCGCTTATCTAGGTATTGTTTTGTTTTGCTTATCACCGCAACCGTGCCGGAAGTCTTCGATCCGGTGTTTGCTTGACGGATGGAGAATAGGTGCAATGATAGGGCGTTGCTCACAGTGACCTTGCGCAACGTTGGCGAAGATTGTAATTCTGCGAAACAGTAACAACCGGAAAATTGATGCTAATGCTCCGAGGCTTGACAAGTGACGACATATCGGAGGACTCAGAAGCTGGGAATGGCTAGTGTAGGTGCATAGTAAGGCCGTAAGGTGGCTTCACGGGATGAAACCCACAAGAGTTGAGTCGCAAGTCCGATCAATCCGGTGTTGTACTATACTCTGTCCATGCCCTGCTGCATCGTGATCGCATCGGGTTAGCGTGAGCCCCATGAATTCACCAACCAGCGAGCGCCGGTTAGCGCCGTAGGACAAGCGCGCGCAACCAACTCTTTGTCCCTGCCCTATCTTGATATTAACTCTACTGTGCCACAATGTCACGTCTTGGGGCTACGTGCTGCGACGAGGCTGTGCCCATCTCTGTCCCTTGCAAGAAGTGCAGTTCACCTCCCCTTCGAGAAGGCGCGCGCTACAATTACTCTCCACTACCTGATCATCGGCAACTGTTCTATGAACCAGATGTTACCTGCGCACGTATGGCACGCGATGTAATCACCGAAGTCCTCCCGATATTCTGTTCGAACACCTCTAGCCCGAGTTATCGCGCATCCAATTCCATCAACTCTCAGGTCCTCAACCCACTTGGCATCAAGCGATGATGCGTTCCCGCAGACAGATCGAATCCATAGTGGTAGCAGTATTTCTACTCTGCGCATGGTATCTCTTCGACGCCCACTTCAATGTCGCCCAAGGAGGTTCTCTCGAGACCAGCGTTGATAAGAAGCCATGGCGACATGAGTCAACAGAAGCGGCAGGAAAACAAGAGATATCCGAGCAGAAAGGTGCGCATGGAGGCGCGAAAGGAGAAGCATCATCGACCTCCACGTCCTCTCAACATATAAGCACATCGACGCAAAGTACTGCTGTCGCGACACCTACCCCATCCCTACCTGATCGCGTCGTGGTGATGGCAAAGCTTCCCACCGACGAAACAGATTGGGTGCATACCGATCTACCAGACTGGCAAGCGGTCATCTATGACATCGATACCGAAACTCCACACAACATATCGACCCTAGATCCGATGACCAACAGCACTCTACGGACCCTCCGGAACAAAGGAATGGAAGCAAATGCATACCTCGTGTACATCGTGCAGAACTACGACAACTTACCTTCAACAATCGCGTTCATTCATCCACACAAAGACGGCTATCCGGTCGCGTGGCACACCGACAACCAAGAGCATTCCAACGTCGTCTCTCTGCAAAGTCTCAACATCAACTTCATCCAGAGCAACGGCTACGCGAATCTGCGTTGCGTCAACGATCCCGGCTGTCCGCATGAAGTCATACCGTTCCGAGATCCGCCTGAGGAGCATCGAACAATCGAAGCAGCAATGCCGGACGCGTGGCGGGACTTGTTCAACAACACGGACGTACCACATATACTGGCGACGCCTTGCTGCGCGCAGTTTGCCGTGTCGAGTAAGCAAGTGCGGCAACGGCCGTTGGACGAGTACCAAAGGTATTACACGTGGTTAATGGAAACGCCGCTAAAGGATGAGACAAGTGGGAGGGTGTTCGAGTACCTTTGGCACATTCTGTTTGGGCAGGAGCCCGTTTAGTAAGTGCTGGGTCGATCGAAGTCGCATTGCGCCGCTGCTAACGTGGACCAGCTGTCCCGCATACGAGAAATGCTATTGCGACGTGTATAACAGATGTTGAACACGCACCTTTCAGTGGGTAGTGCAAGAAGAAAATAAAGTTCACGTGGGATCTCTGGCGGGCAGGCACCGGACTTTCGCAGTCGCGTCGCCGAGCCTGCCCGAAAATCCCCCACACCAGCTGTCCAGTCTGAAGATCACGATACCAACATGAGCCGCGACATCTCCAGTCGAGTTGCTGATACAGCGCCCTGTGCAAGAACAAGGGCTCAAGCCGACGTCGTCGCAGCTCCACGCCCCGTCATGCGTCGCGGTTTCGTTCCTCGCGGCGGGCAAAAAGAATGGCAAAAACATACAACAGCGCGTATTCCCCGGTGGTCACCCACCCGAGTACTAATGCGCCGGTATCATGCTTGTATATGGCTGAGCGGACGGGAAGCCTAATTTTCATGATCCTATGGTCGTATGTGAAGGAATGGGGAGTCTGACATCTTATAATGTCATTGCAAGCTCAGGATACGGCAAACGAATGGAAACGACCTCAGTCAGATTACCGGCCACAGTATGATGCTATTGACCAGAGCGCGAACTCTGACGATGGTCAGACCTCATCTGGGACGGAATGAGATCTGAGGGGGTTTGTCGCAGGCCAAGCGCTGTCGGACACCTTGGTACTAGTAACACCGGACGACAACCTTCATATAAGCTCAGCCAGGGAGTTACAAACAATAAAGCACGAACACTCTCTTTCAGCTATTCTATCTATAATACCCGCACCTATGCAACGGGGCGTTCTACAATTCAAGCTAGCTCTGCCTCAATAACACTTTCTACAGAGTGAGGTGGTCTCCATATCTTAAGCACCTTCAATCCCACACTCTCCACCAGCGCCCGCCATTCAGCCTCCGTCCTCTCCTTCGCACCAAGACACGCCATCATGGTGATATCAGACGTTGTCACACGAGCGAGCGGCTTGACGGAGCTAACCAAACTTTCATGAACGAGAAGCTTCGAATATCCGGGTTCCATAGCTTCGGTAAGGTGAGAAAGGATCTGCTTCGCCTGTGTGTCTTCCCAGTCGTGCAGCACGTTGTGCATGAAGTAGGCACGGGCACCTTTCACTGGCTGTGGTTTAAAAAAGTCATGAGGGTGGATAGAGATGGTGTCGTCAATAGTCAACTCCTTCAGAATATCGGGCAGGTCTTGGAGCACCAGACTGCCCTCAGGGATATCAGGGTGGCGCAGATGGAATTTGGTCAGGTCGTGGCCCTTGCTACCACCGACATCGACGACAAGGGGCCGGTCAGGCTTGGACTCTTTCACAAGAGTCTCAGTTGGGTAAACATCAACCCAGGGCGTCAAATTATGCTTGGAGTGACTCTCCATGGCATCATTAAATTCCCGTGCGGCGGCAGGGTTCGCGCCAAGGGACTGGAACAGATTCTCATCTGAGCCCCTCATGAACTGCCAGTTGCCGTCGTTGGGGTTAGTAGGGACCTTGTATCCCGTCTTCTTGAGGTAGGCTGGCAAAGTCCTGAACATGGGGGAATTGACGAAGCCATAAAATTCACCATAGACGTTGGCGAGGGCCTGATCCTCAGCGAGAGCGCGTACCCACGGTGTAGGTTTATAGGTGTCCTCGGCGGTCTCGATGACAAGATTCTGCCCAGAAATTTGCCGAATCATGCGCCCTGCATTGCCGTCAGAATGCTCATCAATAGTGAAGCAGAACGGATATGTAACCTACGGATAAGCACTACATCGACACCCGTTAACTCAGCCAGTTTCGCGCAAGTTTTCTCTCCGCCTCCGGTCTCGATCCATTTGCTGAAGACACCCGCGTCTATCAACGTCTTGACGCATGCATTGGTGGCCGGGTTGACCCAGCAGTGCTGCCAAACAATGTCCCACGGCTTGTGTACTTTGCTTAAGGCCAGGGTCAGCGCGTCCATGGCACGGACGCGCTCTGCTTCGCTAACGAAGGAGTTCGCGTCGAGGCCCTCCAAGGCTCCGATAAGTTGGTCTGCTGATGCCATGATGGAAATAGGAATTATTTTTTGGGAAAAGATGCAGGAACAATGGGAACAACACGCCGTCTACTATTTGACAAAGAGTAATGTTGTTATCTACCGTAAACCGTGGCCATATCTACCGGCCGACTGGAGGTTTCCAAATACTATAGTAGTTAGTAAATTCCTTGTAACAGTTAAACGCGTACTAAGATCCATTCTTCCTCGGTGCACTTTTCCTGATACGTAAACTAACTTAAACGACACGTGACATGGCCGAACTTCTACGGAGTAATTTGTGCCGAATCGCATCTAACAAGCCGCACGATTTAATGCCATGCGGGTGGAAGTGGTTACCACAGATCAGTTGAGGACACGGTATCCGAAATTTGAGTGAGCAAGGATGTCTCAGGGGCGGACCCACCCGTTGGGCCCCCAACTTCTCACGCCACTCTTGGCATCTAGTGCTTGGCACGCAGTCCCTCGAACTCGTGCGAGCGACCTTGACAAGACCTATTGTAGCAGTCGAACTTTGGTGTTGCTGAAGAGTATGTATTGCGTTTCACAGTCCCTCGCCTTGATAACATTGCCTCAACAACATCATTTCAACAACATCAAAGCTTGCCCAATCAGATCATCACTAGGCCCTTGCTGCCCTATCGCGCGCGTAGATGTTTAGAG